GCCAGTACCATGCTGTTTTGGTTACTATAGCTTTGTAGTATATTTTGAAATCAGGGAGTGTGATACCTTCAGCTTTGTTCTTTTTTCTCAGGATTCCTTTAGCTATTTGGACACAATTTTTTTTTTTTTAAGGAAGATTGGCCCTGAGCTAACATCTGTTGCCAATCTTCCTCCTTTTTTCCTTTTTTCTCCCTGAAGCCCCAGTAGATAGTCGTATGTCATAGTTGTACATCCTTCTAGTTGCTCTGTGGGACACTGCCTCAGCATGGCTTGATGAGAGGTACATAAGTCCACACCAAGGATCTGAACTGGCGAACCCCAGGCCACCGAAACAGTATGTGAACTTAACCACTATGCCACTGGACCGGCCCCCACAATTTTTAATGATCCTAAAAAATACCATAATGAACATCTTTATAAAAGTATATTTCCTTGTTTAAAATTGACATTAGATGATTTATGAAAGAAAAAAAAGAATTGACCTACTTAAAGGTATATGTGTGTATCTATTAATTGATCAGTCTGTTAATCTATCCATTTATCTATCCCTTGCCTTTTTCAAATTTAAAGTGTCTTATTTTTATAATATTTAAATGAAGGCATGAATATTTTGAGATGAAACTCTAGCCAGTTAATCTTTAATTGCTTATATCCTAAGTTCATGGAAATGATAAGAAGGGATCTGGCAAAATCCACATCAACTCTAGGGGAACGAGCATTATATTTTGAGGATAAAATATTACTTGTTGCTATTTTGCTGTTTTGGAATATATACTTCATTGCTGCTGCTGATAGATTAGTAGCTAATCCTCCTAAAAGTATTTCTGTTGCCCACTAAGAAACAATGACAAGGGGCCGGCCTGGTGGTGTAGCAGTTAAGTTCACATGTTCCGCTTTGGCGGCCCGGGGTTTGCCGGTTCGGATCCTGCGCATGGACCTACTCACTGCTCATCAAGCCTACTCTTCTACGTCCCACATAGAAGAGCTACAACTCTACAACTAGGATACACAACTACGTACTGGGGCTTTGGGGAGAAAAAAAAGAAAACGAGGAAAATTGGCAACAGATGTTAGTGCAGAAGCCTGCTGCTTTTCTACACGTGCCTATTTTAATGCTGATTTTTAAAAACTGAACAAACAAACAAAAAACCCCTAAAACCACATAGACCCCTGGCCTGGTAGTTAAGAGAGCCAGGCCCCAGTCCAGGACATTCCACCAGGTCGTTCCATGAATCACCTGTGTTCCCCGGGCTTTTGTCTCTTCTCCGTTAAAATAAAAGAGGGAGTGAAGGGCTGATGATCTCTGATGCCCTTTCTAAATCTTGAAGTCTGTTTTTAACAAGACTTTCTTGGCAAATTATTTTAAAATTAACAGTTAATGTTCCAAATCCAAGCCAAAGTGTATTGGAACTTCTGTGATTCAAGAATTGGACTACTTGGAATTTCCATTTTGGTAACCAGTGGGGCGATCATTAATTATCTGTCATTGTGTAAAATACACCTGGGTGGGTGACCAAGCGTAGACATGGATCTAACAAGGTGGCCTGGTATTGGGAGCCAAGTTTGGGTGGTCTCGTTGCTTCTTCCACTTATGGAGCACCTCCTCTGCAAACTCACTGGACGAGGTGCTGAGAGGCAGCTGGGAAAGAGCAAGGGATGCAGAAAAGAAGACACTGCTTCTGCAGAGAACGGAAGAAGGGTCAGCCTAGAGGCCAGTGTCCACAGAAAGTCAGGCCCCACATAGAGGGGAGGCTTCATCTCTCTGAAGCAGGAAAAGCATCGAGAGTGCTCTCATCTGGGGAGGCGACACCCAGTGACTCTCTTCAGACCAGAAGCATCAGGTGTCGTCAGCACCTGTCAACCAATGACCCACACGATCCGCGCACACACCTGAAAAACCGCGGCTGGTGTTCCACGTTATTTTCTTCTAAGACTCGCCGCCTTTCTCTCTGTAGCTGTTCAATCCTCTGCTTGTGTATTTCAGCTTCTGCTAAGTTCCCTTCTTCTAGAAACCTGAGGTTTCGAGGAAAAAAAACAAAGGAACATGAATTCCAAGAAAATAAAACAAGCATTACTACTAAAATTGCACGTGTGCAAGATTGGATATTCAAAATGCTTTCCTATACATAAGACAATTCTTTGAGGTAGTTAGGGAAGATACTATTTTTTGAATTGGTGATATATACATGGTCCAAAAAAGATAGAGAGATATAGATATAAAAAGGAATTTGGGACAAAGTCTCCCTCTCATCCCTGTCTCTAATTCTACCTGTTTTCTCCCCATCCCACTCACCTTCACCCCCCGCCACAGGTAACGCACTGTTACTAGTTTCTTGTGCATCCTCCTAGAGAGTCTTTATACATAAATAAGCAACGTTAATATATATTCTTACCCCTCCTTCCTTTTTTAAACATAAATGGTAGCATGCTACACATACTCTCTACACCTTGGTTTCTTGTTTTGTTTCACTTTTTACTGAATATATCTTGGAGATCTTTCTTGGTGGTACATAGATATCTTCATTTTTTAATAGCTGTATAATATTCAATTGTGTGGCTATACCTGAATTTATTTAAACAATTCCCTATTGACAGACATTTGGGATGTCTCCAATTATTTAATGTTAACAGTTAATGCTGCAATGAATGACCATGAATATCCATCATTTTGCACATAGGTTAGTGTATCTGTAAGGAGAAATTTCTAGAAGTGGAATTGCCTGGTTAAAGGATGAGTTTGTAATGTGTATATTACTAAACTGCCCTTTATGGGGATTACAGCAATTTACATTCCCACCAGCAATGTTATTAGGGAGGGTTTTCCCCATAGGCTCAGAGTGCATCAAATTTTTGATCTTTGTTATCTGATAGGTTAAGAAATAGTATGTCAATGTGGTTTTAAAAATTTGCATTTCTTTGAGTGAGACTGAGCATCTTTTTATATATTTAAGGGATATCTGCATTTCCTATTTTGTGAACTGTTCATTTTCCTATGTCCATTTTTTTAATGGGTCGATCTTGATTTCTAGAACCAACTCACAAAATGAGCTGCAAACACAGATTTCCCAGTTTGTCATTTATCTTTTTTTTTTTAGAGGAAGATTAGCCCTGAGCTAGCATCCATTGCCAATCCTCCTCTTTTTGCTGAGGAAGATTGGCCCTGGGCTAACATCCGTGCCCATCTTCCTCTACTTTATATGGGGTACCGCCACAGCATGGCTTGAAAAGCAGTGCATCTGTCTGCGCACAGGATCCGAACCTGCGAACCCTGGGCCGCCAGAGTGGAGCTCTCGAACTTAACTGCTATGCCATGGGGCCAACCCCTCAGTTTGTCAATTATCTTTTGACTCTGGGTATATATTTTATTTACTTTGCCATGAAGAAAGGTGCTGGTTTTTTAAAAATAAAGTCAAATTTTATCGATCCTTTTTTTTTTACCTTCCGGGTTTTGAGTCTTAATTAGTAAGGCCTTAGGGGAGAGATTATTCTTTCAATTTTACAGAGTAGGAAACTGAGGCTGAGAAAGACGTATCATATGTCACACAGCTTGTTAGCAGCAAACCTAGGATCAGAAGTTAGACCTCAGTGCACCAAAATAATTTAAATTCAAGGGGTGGGGGAGCTAGATGCTTTTGACTCTTTCAAATACACAATAAGTTCTTTATTATTGTATGCACGGAACTCTTAAAAATAAACACTTTTTTTTTGATATTTCAATAGAAATGGGGCTCTACTTATGAATATGGGTCTTGCCACACACAGATCTAAGCTGGTCTCTGTCTCTTCTACAACATGATTGCTGCAAGTTCCCTAGACCTCTACTCCTCTCTCTCTCTCTAGGCGACTCTGGTGGCCCAGATGTTGTTAATAAGACTTTTTATAAAGAGTTTTAATCTCTAGAGATAAAGATCTTTAAAAAATCCTTACCTTTGGTCTGGCCTAAATCGAGTGTCAGTAGGTGGTAATAAAGACTTTGACAACGGATCCATTTCATTTAATTCTAGTGCAAACTGTGTGAAGCCATAATACTGCTCATGGCTTTTCGGCATGGGATCTAGAAGAAAAAGAAACCATTCGTCTCTATCTTGCATTTCATTCATGTTACATTTTAATTCCTTCACCTCTTTCATCTTAGACCAGCTACAATTTTTCTCTCAGCTCTAAACTCTTCCATTTCTATTAAAATATTCTGGCTAACAAATAGGCGCTGAATATTTCTCTATAAATTTTCTTCTCTGTAACTTTTTTTCTACCTACAAGGAAAAGGCCTTCTTTGTATGCTCATACAGCACATTTATAAAAATGTCATGAAGTTTCTACATTGTTTAAGCTATAAAAATAATTTGTTACTAAAATAAACATGTTAGAAAGAACTCTAAGTCCATTTTTCCTGACTAACGAGACTTTCACTCTAGAGAATCCATTTTTCATTTAAGAGATGTCAAATTCTCCCGAACTCTGTCTAGTACCTGAAATAGTGTTGAACCCACAGCAAGTGGTCAATAAATGTTATTCTTTTCCTCCATCCATGCCCTTCTTTTCACCAACTCTTGCCCCTCCAAATCTTACATATTTAAATTTAAAACCATCTCAGCAGAAGCCAGGAATACAGATAGGATTATACCAGCAGAAACACTGCCAGCTGGAACGAAAGGAGACAGAGAAAACAGGACAGAATGCAGACAGGCTGTGGGGCTACTGGTCTTTTACAGGAAGGAACCATCGAGCTATCCAGCTGCAAACATGGGTTATCCTTCAAGGATGGTAAATGAGGTGATTCAGAGACCATCAGGCTGCCACTCCCACCACAGGCCAGGACTACACAGGCCCAGGGGGCAAGGCTGCCTCAGCCTCTCAAAGGGTGGGGCCACTGCAGGAGTTTCAAGAAGCCAGGCTGCCACCACCCAGAGCCTTGGGGGCCTTGCCACTGGCCCAGTGGGTCCAGAGGGCAGGGCATCGGGCCAGAAAAGGATTAGCCCCAGCCTTCAAATCTAATGGCATTTGCCTTGCTGGCTTTGGACTTGCTGGGGACCCATCACCCCTTCCTTCTTTCCTATTTCTCCCTTTTGGAAGGGAATGTCTATCCTACGCCTGTCCCACCATTGCATTTTGGAAGCACATTTTGGTTTCATAGGCTCACAACTGGAGTGGATGATTCATACCTCAAGTCTCACCCATACTTGTTTTAGATGATATTTAGATGAGACTTTGGACTTTAGAGTTGATGCTGGAATGAGTCAAGACTCGGGGGGCTGTTGAGATGGAAGAAATACATTTTGCATGTAAGAAGAGCATGGTTTTGGGGGGCCAGGGGCAGAATGTTATGGACTAAATGTTTGTGTTCTCCCAAAATTCATATGTTGAAGCCCTACCCCCACTGTGGAGGGTGTGTGTGGCTGTACTTGGAGATGGGGTCTCTGAAGAAGGAATGAAGGTTAAATGAGGTCAGAAGGGTGGGGCCCTGATCTGGCTACTGTCTGCAAGGCAGGAAGAGCTCCCTCACCAGAATCTGAATTTGCCACCACCTTGATCTTCGATTTCCCAGCCTCTAGAACTGTAAGAAAATAAATTTCTGTTGTTTAAAACACCTAGTCTGTGGTATTTTTTTATAGCAGCTCAAGCAGACTAAGGCAAGTGTATTGCCCTAACTTGAATTCCAGCTAAAAATACCCAAATTTACATATTGGAGAAATCAAATGTAGACTAATAAAACCCACGCATAGCCTTTGCTCTCGTTGTTCACACACACAAATACAAACGCTTCACAGGAACTCTTCTGCAGACCCATTTTTTGAAGCTTCAGAAGTCCTTTTTGTCCAATTTTCTGTGTATTCTAAGTATGGAAATAATAGCAAAGCTTCCTACCAGGCCTTCAGAAATCCACCCCAGTGTCCCAACCATCAGAGTGAAGACAGTGGTTTTTCTTGAAGATGGGCCAGGGATGCTCATGGCCAAGGAGACATAAAGTCAATAAATAACAACGACAACAAGAATAACAGCTTACACGGTGTTCTTTCATCAACGGACTACTTTAACACCCAGAGAGGATGGCAGTTCTCATCTGTGATAACACACTTTAAGCAAAGGAGAGCAAGTATCTCACTCACACAATTGCATGTGTGCCTCTGAACCTGAAGCTAGGAAGGTGGCCACTGGTGCCAATTCTTTCTAGCTTCATGGCAACCTCTGCACTGGTGGAAGATGTGACTACTAACACAGTGAGGGAGACACTGTTGGCTGCCTACTCTACAGTCATCTCCCTCTCTTTCTTGCTAATGGGAAACTGATCTGTTCAGGTGGCACTGTGCTCTAAGGGATGAATATAAGCCCATCTGAACCTCTCCTGCCTACCCAGGATTGTTTCAGGGATGGTTTGGACCCACTTCGGGCTGACAAGATACAAAGACACATTTGCTGGGGGATCCTAGGAAATATTTCATTTCTTTTTCTTTTGTTGTTTTGTGAGGAAGACTGGCCCTGAGCTAACATCTGATGCCAAGCCTCCTCTTCTTGCTGAGGAAGATTGGCCCTGGGCTAACATGTGTGCCCATCCTCCTCTACTTTATGTGGGATACCACCACAGCATGGCTTGACAAGTGGTGCATTGGTGCGCACCCAGGATCCGAACCTGCAAACCCCAGGCCGCCGCAGCGGAGTGCACGCACTTAACTGCTGTGCCACTGGACCAGCCCCAGAAATATTTCATTTCTGAGAAAGAGAGGCACAAGACAAGAAAGCCCTTTTGTCCTCCCCTGCTTCCCTGCTTGGTGAGCTGTCTCATGGGGATATGATATTGAATCGTGACAACAGTTTTACATCGATGATGGCAAACATCACCACCATATTGGGAGTGGCAGAACGTGTCTCAATGATCTGTGCTCTTGACACAGGTAAATTGCCTATGTAACAATCCTGGGGCCACCCACCACCTCATTTGTTATTAAGTAATAGCACATATCTTAATGGTTTAAGCCACTATTAGAAGGTTTTCTTTTGTTTTATCAGCCTAAACCATCCTACCGTGATATCTCAGAACAACGGTTTTGCAATACGACCATGACTTGGAAACATGCTTATCAGATTAAAAGATGGACTAAAGTCTTAAGATGTTTAGGGGGACATGTTATGAAGGTTTGGCTTCCCTAGGCTTTCTCCCCACAGCTGCTTCAAGGGCTCGGTATCCCTCTGGAATTACAGGAAAGATCAGAGTGGCTTATGGTGTTGGGCAAATCTGAGGGATCCCTAAGTCTTATAGAACCCCCAGGACAGTCTGCTTGTCCAGTAACAGTTTTCTCTTTATTCATACTCTAGAATGACTTTTTGATATTAAAGATATTCCTTCTTAATGCCCAGTATAGACACAGGGATGATGTGTGTTGACTGGAAGATTTCCTCAGAGAGTGACCATGGATTAACAATGGCTTCGTTCTGGGGTTAAAAATCCATGATCCAGCAGCCCAACTGAGGCTTGGTTCATCAGCATGAGGATGAGTCTGAGATATGAGCAGGTGAATGAAAGAAGGGCCGATAGCTCGAACAGAGTTCAAAGCAGGCGGAGACTGGAGACACCGCATGGACACTAATGCTGGCCCATCTGCAGGTCCTCTGGCCACATCCCTCCCCACCGCACCCCTTGGCCTGGGGCTGATTAACCTGGATACTAACTCGCTCTCCAGACACAAGTGGATGAGGAGGCGCCACCGCAGTAAATGCTTTCATGCCACTTCCCAAATAGCCGATGCACTGCTTTTCCACTCTTGTCAAATACCGTACCTTCAATCTCGTGGGCGTTAGTGCTCCAGTATTTTGCCTAGGATTCAAATGAGAGTTGTCTGTTTAGTATTTTGGGGTCGACTTCTTACAGATATTAAGAGAAAAAAAAGGGAAGAGAAAGAACCATAAGAATGATTCTACATGGCATACTGTTTGCCAGTTCTGGGTTCTGGCTTAAAAAATAATCATACTTTTAATTATTTAATAAAAATTAATAGCTAACCCTTTATTTACAGTTTGCAACACAGCGACCAATATAAGATACATTTTCTCTTCTAGGAAGGAAAGGCTCAGTTCTCACACATTGGCCAAGGAGTGTGGTTGACCCTTAAACCCCCTCCTGTGGAATAACTGTTCCCCGGCTGTCACTGTGGCTCTGACTATTGCAATTTAAAAGAAATGTAACTCATATAATTTTTTCACTAAAGGAACTAGACAGTCTTTTGTAAACTAGCCAAGAATGCTGCTTTGTAAACCAATAAATTTTCAGTTTGTTTTATTATTTTTTTCCCCAAACGAGATCTGTTCATCCAACCCAGTGGTACCTTATGTAACCCACATCCATTCATACTGTGGATTGGTCCTTGTCTAAGACCAGCTCAGCTCTGCTCAGTTTATGGGTTTTATACAGTACCACAAGGTAGCCAGCAGAGGGAGCCCTAACTCCCTGGAGATGATTTTTTCCAAATCTCCCAATTACCTGGCTGCCCTAAAAATCTCATGAAAGGACAGAAGCATTACTTCATAAATCAAAAATCCTAGTACTATTTTCAGCCAAAACAGAATCCATATTTGGAAACCAATAAAGTTGAGTGGCATTTTCAGGCCAATTCAGGTGGTTTGGTTTCCCCAATCTGCGTCTGCGGGGAAAACGGGAGAGCAGAGTACAGCAGCATCTCGGGGCTGAATCAGAAATGTAAAATTGAGTTCTCTAATCATGTAAAAATGGGCGAAAAGGGAAACAAATACTGTCCAGGCTCTTAAGTTTATTCTGAAGCAGGAGTCAGATTTTCTCTTAGAAATATTTGCCAACAAATCCAATGCTGGCAATATGATGGGATGTCAGAGAGGGAGGCAGCCGTGCTCCACAGGTAACATTCTCTTCAGATTCGCTTTTAACACCATAGGCACATCCGACGTTCTAATTCTTTTCGTCTCTCATAGTACAAAGATCTGTTCTCTGGTCCCAGGTGGAGGAGCACGAGGTGGATGGCAGACATGGGAGTCGTGCACATTTCCTCGGGGAAAATGCTGAGAACTGGGTGGCTGTCACCTGGATCAGGGGTATACACATCCCTGCTCCAGGCTGCCTTGTCATCTTTCTGCAGAAAGCTTAGATGAAGTTTTCAAGGCAGGGTCATTTTTATTTTACCCCAGATCACTACTAGCTTTACATCTGTCTACAGCCCAGTTTGACCTATAGGCTATAATAAAGACCCTCATCCACCTTTCCATGATGTCCCCCACCAGCCATAGGTGGTGCAGAGAGGTACCCCATGAAATTCCACAATTAGAACCTAATCTCTCAGTTTATGGTTTTGATCTTAATTAAATATAAATATTCCTTGAGGAGGGTAATGCTTTACGGTCACTTTAAGTACATGAGAATTTTAAGGACAAGAGGGAATCTAGGGAGGAAGAGAAGCTGGGAGAAGAGCTCAAATCAAGGCAGATGGAAAGGGAAGCAGACTATTCCATGCTTTTTCCCCAGGCCAATCTGTTCACTTATCCCATGAATGTTCGTGAGCCTCTGCCGTGTGCCAGGCACCACTCCCAGGCATCAGGCCACAGCAGTGAGCAAGTTAGACCAGACTTTTGCTTTTCGGGAGTCAGGAATGGCGAGGAGAGTGTAGGGAACAGAAAATAAACAAGCAAATCAACAGGGAGCAAGCTAACTACAGACGAGAATAAAACTCTGAAGAAAACGGGATATGATCGAAACTAACAAGACGGGGCTGGTGATGGAAGGAGCCGGGGAGAGGCGCCCAAGCAGAAGGAAACGGAGAGAGAGAGAAGGCCAGTGCGGTTAGAGGACGGGGAGGAAGGAAGGGACGAGGGGGTGGGAGGAGCTGAGGTAGGAGCGGGATGAGTGTGTGCATGTTTGTGTGCGTGTGCACGCGCAGGTGTGACCGTGGGGGGGGGTGCAGACTGTGCAGGGCCTTGTGGGCCGTCATGAGGATGCAGGCTTTTCCTCTGAGAAAGACAGAAGTTGTCAGAGGATTTTGGTCAAATATGGCATGACGTTCTTTTTTTACATTATGGTAAAACATTCATAACATAAAATTTACCATTTTAACCATTTCTAAGTGTACAATTGTACAATTCAGTGGCATTAAGTACATTCACAATATTGTGCACCCATCGCCTTACATATGTCCAGAACTTTTTCCTCTTCCCAAACTGAGATTCTGTATCCATTAAACAGTAACTCCCCATTCCTTCCTCCCCCAAGCCTCTGGCAACCACCATTCTGCTTTTGGTCTCTATGAATTTGACTGCTCTAGGTGCCTCAAAAAAATGGAATCACATAATATTTGTCCTTTTGTGTCTGGCATATTTCACTTAGTATAATGTCTTCAAGGCTCATCCATATTCTAGCATGATGACTTATGTTTTAAAAGGCTCCCTCCTGCTGCTGAATTGAGACCTTAGGGGAGTAAGGGCAGAAGGAGGGAGGCCAGGAGGGGCCACAGCTTCAGGTGAGAGAGGTGGGGCTTGGACCAGGGAGCTCCTGGCATTGCTTGTCTGCTGGCACAAAGACGAAGGTGAAAAATTCCCCGAGACGCCCTGTGCCCTGCGGCCCCAGCTCCGCCTTTCCAGAGTAGGAGCTCACAGGGCCACCCAGTTACCTTTATAAAATTCACTTTGCAGTGGCAGGAATCATTGCTCAGGTTCTTGATGACAATCTCGCCATAGTGCTCAATCCACCTCTGCCCGCTTAAGATGTTATGGATGCAAGAGGTCACTTTGTTCCATTCAAAATGATCTCCAAAACTAAAAACGAGGAAAAGGTCAACTAACAATTCTCAGAAGAGCCAGCAGCAAATACAAACAAGCACCGCTATTTGAAAAAATAAGTCACGTAATGAATTCCTCATTCCTTCATTTATGGAACCAACACTGACTGAGTGCCTAAGCCGTGCTGGGCCTTCTACGAGCCTTCACTCTCCAAGGAGGCATGAATGCCCAGAGGGTGACAGCAGTCAGGCTCGTGCACTCTGGAAGCTGCCAAAGGCTTCATAGAAGCTGGTGATCTCCTGGAACAACCCACTCCCTCCTTCGACAGAGGAGGAATCTGAGCCAGAGGTGACTTGTCTAAAGTCACCAAACTAGGAAAGGGAAGTGGCAGTGGGGAAAGTATGCAGTTTTTCACAATCTGTTCTCTTTCTCTCTCCACATACATACATATATGTGTACATGCACACATACATTTATATATACATATATGTACACATATATAGGTATATATGTGTATATGTGTAGCTATATGTATATACGTATAAAATATATATATATATAAATCTTAAGATACATGTATCTTAAATCTTTTATGATGAGAAAGTATTCAGGTACTACTTACAGAATTAAATCATGATTATGAGGATAATAGGATTAAGACCAAACACTACACGGCACATACCATGTGCAAGGACTATTTTCAGTGCTTTCCATATATTATCTGTTTAACCTTCACAACAGTCCTATGAAGTAGGTGGCTGATTATTCCTGTTTTACAGATGGGGCAACTGGTGATCAGAAAGGTCAAGGAACCTGCCCAAGGACGTGTAATTAGTAAGTGGCAGAGTGAGCACCTGAGCCCCAGTAGCCTGGCTCCGGAGGCCACACTCAGCCATTTTGCTTTATAAATGAGTATCAGTGACCTCTACAGGATCAAGGTCAGATCTTTCCTAACAAGAATTCTGACAGTGAGGCAGGACAATGTTAAAGAAAAACTACCATTCTTAATTTTTGTTAGGAAATGGAAAGGAGTTTTTAAAAAAGCTTCTGTTCAGGGAACTTTGGTCTTCAAGGAGCATTTCCTTTTGAGGAAAAGAAAATGTGAGCTTGTCAAAATGAGGAACGTTTGAACCTACCATCAAACAGATTAAAAGAAAAAAACATACACTCAACACCCACTGCGGGGGACAGCAGGCATCCTGTCTTAAAGCTCCATCTTGGCTCTAAATTCTATAAAGTTCCTAAGCACAGGAGAAGAACTTACGCTGGCAGAGTCACATGGGTTGTGCCAATGGGAACAATTTCCATGGATTTGCCCCAGAATTTGTTTTTCCATCTCACATCTGAAATGAAATACCAATTATTACATATTTAACAGGAGAACTGGGTAGATCAAACAGTTCTTAGGCTGGATAAATAATTAATCACTATATAGAACAATCTTTTCATAATAAAATCCATTATTGGATAGGATAACTTTTCATTCAATATAAGTACCAACTGAGTAACTGGAACAGAATCAGGGAAACTAAAATTATAAGATAAAGTCCCTCCCTTGAAAGAGCTCACAGGGCTGGCCCCGTGGCTTAGCGGTTAAGTGCATGCGCTCCGCTGCTGGCGGCCCGGGTTCGGATCCTGGGCACGCACCGACGCACCGCTTCTCCGGCCACGCTGAGGCCGCGTCCCACATACAGCAACTAGAAGAATGTGCAGCTATGACATACAACTATCTACTGGGGCTTTGGGGGAAAAAATAAATAAATAAATTATATAAAAAAAAAAAAAAAGAAAGAGCTCATAGTGTGAAAGGCAGGCAGAAGTGAAAACAATAAAGCCCACACAGAGAGGCAGGGGCTCTAACTGATTGTGTTGTAAGGTGAAATGGAACCAGAGAAGAAGAAAAGACCAACACACTTGTGGAGGGCATCAGAAAAGGCCTGTCTGAAGGGGCCAATTAAACTAGGCTTTGAAGAACAAGCAAGAGTTCACCAGGCAGAGAAAAAGCAATTTAAGGCAGAAGGTATAGCTTGTTCAAGGGGAGAGAGGGGCAAGAGAACATGACGTTCTGTCCTGTAGGTCTCAGATTGTCTAGAGAGAAGAGTAGAAAGACAGATTGAGCACAAAAACCAGTGGGCTCTACAAGCCAGGCTAAGAAGTCTAGTTTGTGTGCACTAGGGGAAAATAAGTGGTTGTTTAGACAGAGAACTGATGTGGTTAGACACAGACTTTGCAAAGACAATTGGGAGCAATATGGAGAATGGACCAGGAGCAGGAGAGATGAGAAGCCAGGTGACAAGTTATAATGCTACTGTATTTGCTCAAGGGATAAATAAGGATGAAGTAAACAAGACAGTAACATAAGGGATGGAGTGGAAGGAAATGATCCCAGAACCATTAAAAAAGTAGAAATAGAACTTGAGGGGCCATCCCTGTGGCTTAGCGGTTAAGTGCACGTGTTCCACTGCTGGCGGCCCGGGTTCAGATCCCGGGCGCGCACAGACTCACTGCTTCTCCGGCCATGCTGAGGTGGTGTCCCACATACAGCAACTAGCAGGATGTGCAACTATGACATACAACTATCTACTGGGGCTTTGGGGAGAAAAAGGGAAAAAAAGGAGGAGGACTGGCAATAGATGTTAGCTCAGGGCCGGTCTTCCTCAGCAAAAAGAGGAGGATTGGTATGGATGTTAGCTCAGGGCTGATCTTCCTCACAAAAAACGAAATAAAAAAAGTTCCTTTAAAAAAATAAATAAAATAAAATTGATTATGGCTATGATTGTACAACTCTGTGACTATACTAAAAATCATTGAATTGTACATTTTAATTTGGTGAATTGCATGGTATATAAATTATATCTCAATAAAGTTGTTACCAAAGAAAAAAAAACATTGGCTGTTTAAAGAAAAAACAGTAACAATGTATTGCAGGGTTTATAACATACATAAGAAAAATGTATGTCCACAATAGCACAAAGGTTAGGAGAGGGGAAATGGAAGTATAGTTTTGTAAGTTTCTTATACTATACATAAAGTGGCATAATATTACTTGAAGATAGACTGTGATATATTACACATATATAATATGAATCCTACAGTAACAACTAAAAAATGAAACAAAGAGGTATAGCTAATAAGCCAACAAAGGAGATATAATGAAATCACAAAAAGTAGAGTCCAAAAGATGCAGAAAAAGAGGAAAAGTGGAACAAAGAACAGATGCAACAAACAGAAAACAAATAACAAGAAGCCACATTTAAACCCAACTACATCAATAATCACAATAAATGTAAATGGTCTAAACAATCTAATTAAAAGGCAGAGAAGTGTCAGATTGGATAAAAAAGCAAGATATGGGGGTCATGGGCCTATGGGAACAGGTGGGACTGCCCTGGAAAAGGCTGATAAGAAGCAAAGGGAGCTGAGGAGAAAACCATGAGTAACATAAGGTGCACGTAAGAACTACCTTCAGAAGATTCTTTCCATTACATAACACACAACTTAAAAATAATAATAAAGTGCCTATGGGGTCAATGACACTTAGCAACTAGGAGGTTAGAGATCTTATGAGAATTATTTCCAGAAGTTTTCAGTGAAAGTTAGAGAAGTTTCCAATCAAGCTTCAATTCTAAACTTTAGTAGCAAAGATTCAGAAAGGAAACTATGGTACTTGTAACCTAAACTGGTAATATTGATTGCCTCTAGAGATAGGAACTGGGTGGCTAGGGACTGAGGTGGGGGAGGGAGAGTTTTTATAAAATACTCTTTCATATCTTTTAAATTTTATAGTTGTATTTTTTAAGGCAATGTGGCAAATCAGGAGCTATCACTGTTAGCAGAGAAAAATGTTTTAAAAACATGTCTGTTTCTATGCTCATTGTTTGAAAACCCAGGATGCTCAAGTTTTCTTTCTATAGTAATACACTCTGACTTTTGAATAAATAAATAAGTTAACAAAATTAACTAATCCATTTAGAAAATATCTGCAGTCTTATTTACTCTTTAGAACAACCCAACCCCTCCCAAATCCAAAATATAAACTGAATATAGGAACAACAACCACAAAACTGAAAAAACGTCAACAATGTAAAATGTGATTTCAGAAATAAAATTTAAATTTTTCAAAGGCAAAAAACCCCTCTGCTGTCTAGACTCTGATAAATAACTGTAAATATTTACTGTTTCTAGAACTATATGAGGCATTCCACTTGGCTGTGGAATGAGATAGAGAAAAAGTTACAGGAATAAATGGTGGTGGCCCAGACAAAGATTAAGAATTTTTTTTTAAAGGGAATAACTAAATCACCTTCCTGAATCCTTAATTATGAAATACACAAGTATCAGTTATTGTTCAGAGATGAGAGGCGAGAACATCAAATGGTGCAGATCCTTCCGCCAAGGCCCGAGGCTAGGGCCCACTTTTGATCTTAACAAGCATTTACAGCAGTTTCTGAATAAAATAAATCTGTAACCTTACAAAAAATGATGAAGGTCAAACATATTAGCACATTACCTTGCCAGAAAACAAAATTTCTAGACTCAGCGTGACATGCAGAGATAGGCGGATGGTGGCTGACCTAATGGAAAAAAAGGCCAAAATACAAAAAATTAATTAACTTTTGTGCCTCATGAACTCCAGTCTGCTCCCTTGCATTGAGATGTAACATAATGCACCGTGTCTAACTGAATGAAAACTTCTTTACACTCCTCCAAGTCTGTCCTCAAGAGGGTGCTCCTGATACAGTCAGCTCTGACCGGCTCACGCTTGTCACGCATGAGAAGAATACTGGTGAACGGAAGCCTCTAGAAGCCTCGGGGAAATGTGGCCAAGTGGCAAGTGATGAGTATACGGTCTCGTGAAAGACGTGAAAATAAAACAGGGACATGCAAGGGCTGCCCACTCATAAACCATATAATCTGACACTGGCTACCCAGTGTCAAACTCTATGAGCTGTTCTGAAAGTGCTGCAGATGTTTCAATCAAGATGTCAAATAGTATATATTTTTAAATGCTACTTCTAAGCAACATAAAAACGCTCTTTGGCTCAGCAGATTTAACTCTTCTGAAAGCTCTACCACAAAGTCCAGCCACTTTTCAAATGATCTACAAGAAGACCAACCTAAGATAATTTTTTAGAAGATCTATAATAAAGAGCTAAACAATTATTCAAGAATGTTAGTCAACTGCTAAGAAAAAAAATTTTTATTCATTTTTTGTCAAGATAAAAATATCTTGAGTAAATATGTAATTACATTCTAGAAAATAGAATCCCCTGTAACAGACAGGGCAGCACATTTCTCTGCCTTTTGTCACTGGGTCGTTACTTCTGTTTTATTCACTAAAGAAGAAGCTAAAAGAGAAAATGGCTCCTCGGTCAGATTTCCTCTTTATCTCAGTAACACTGGGGGCACGTGAGCAATATATGTACTGTTATTATAATTCAGTACTAGTGAAACCAGAGTAATGCTGTCAGGGGTGTTTCCAGAAACTTCTCTGACTTAGCTGGTTCTTAGAAAGTATCTTACATTTAGAGTATTTAGCCCAAAGCCTTCATATTACAAACGAGGGGACTGAAACCAGAAAGATTAAGTAATGTTTCCCAAACACACTGATAGGGAAGAAGTGGAGGCAAGACCCAGCATTTTTTCAAAGTTCAAAAAGAAAAATTGTTTTAAGCAGCTACACCCTGTTTTGAAACATATCTTATCAAGAACTCAGACCACTGAGCCCTGCTTGAGGTGAACAGGTATGTTGGGGAAAGGGGCATGACAAACCCGCAAACACTCATCTTGCTCTGGGCCCTCAGGTGCACTGAGGAACACGGTTTGAAAACCACGTCTCTGTGCCACTCCTCTAGGTGAGAACTGCAGGGATGGGACAGCCCAGAGTCAGGCCACCTATGCATTTAAGTGATGGGCTTTCAATCCTTCCAGCTTGGACCAAAGAGACAAAGATTTAAATAGTGTGGCTATCTTTCAGGTCTCAATGCACATAAATCCCAGATCCAATACGAGGTGGGAGATGCAAATGTGTTGTCCCTTAGATGGTCGTAGTTCCCGCAGCCCTTTTAAAAATAAGAGGCCCCTCCGTGTGTCTATGGGATTTTTAAAGGCAATTTTCACCTTAAGCACTGACTTAGAAACCTTACCCCTAAAACGCAACTCTCTGCTTTCCTTCATTGTCTTTATTAATCCAATCCCTTGAAGATACTTTCTGTCACAAAATGCTGCATCCTTTTCTCCCCTTCTCCCCCCACGAGCTCTCCATGAAAACAGTGGTTAACTGTTAAATGTTGGGATCATGTAAAACTAAACCAGGGCAAGCCAATATCACCCCCCACTTCTCCACTCTCCTCGGCCCCCCGACAGTGGAGTGGGAGAGGAGCTATGGCATGTCCCCATTCCCCACAATGTAGGCACATTTTAAAGTAGATTATTATGAAGTAGATTGTATTCATTCCCACAGAAACAATGTAGTAAAAAATGTAGTGATCACAGCCTTGGTCAAGAATTTGGCATTTTATAGGTGTGGCCAAATGTAAACATCAAAGCAAAATACAGTATATAGAAACCACAACCTCTTCTGTAATGATTTTAAATCCCACAAAACAGGGATAAATACATTGTCCATATGAACTATAAAAGAAGCCCCATCATATCATAAAGTATACATACGTCCATAAAAATGCAACTTCGACCTTTTAAAACTGTGTCAGGTTACTGGATCGGTGCTCAGCAGAGTGCCTTTCGATGTGCTCAAAGGATGTTTTCTGATGAATAAATCTCAGCATTCAAATATCAATGATTTTGCTCATTTCTTTCTGGCTTAAGAAGGCCTTTGAGAATGACTTATTTGGTGCGCATTGTCTTTTAAGAAGTTTACAAAGCTTTCCGGGGAAAGTAAATTAATGCCTTATTTTTCTTTGATAGATTTCCTTACAGCAGGTATTTATCCATCAAGCGTCTCTGGAGCATCTGCCATGTGCTGCAATAGTGTCAGGGAATGAGGGAGAGCTCTTGGAGTCCCACAGAGCTAGGTCCTAACTGTGCAATATCATCTGTTGGCTGGAGGACCTGGAGCCCAAGTTTTTAAACCCTCTGGGCCTTGGGTACCTCATCTGTAAACTTGGGCTAATACCACTGACTTTGCAAACTAAAAAAAGATGACACATGTACAGTGCCAGGATCACATGCTGGTATGGAGTAGGCAGGGAGTAAATTTTAGCCATTTTTCATGAGTGGTATTTCCACTTAGTTCTCATGGTAACCTTGTGTCTTCGTTACCCTTATTTTATAAATTAGGATACAGGGGTTCTATCTACTGAAGAACCTGTCCAATGATACACAGCCAATTAGTGACAAGGGCAGCGCTTTAAAGCGAGGTCCTCTGATTTCAAATCCCATGCTCTTTTCTGCATCTCCAAGCTGCCTCTCCACGGCTGCTCTCAAAGTTGGGCTCCAGTCCCTCCCCAAAGCCTGGGCACACCATTAAGGTCCCATCTCATGGATAGTTAGAGAAAAAATCTTTTGAGTCTGACGTTCCAACCTCTTTAAGTTTCATTCATTTCTTTGTAAAATGAATCTGGGGATCCCTCTGGCTTCAAAATGTTATGACTCTAATGTCTGTTCTCGATGTCTTCTTCAAATCCCAGCATCAAAGGTGGCAGTAAATGCCAGTCAGTTGGAAAAGATTCTCCTAAGGCTTTGATTAATTTGAATGCCCATGGAAAGGGGTAATTCCTGGTTAATAATTTAATCTTTGTTGATGGCAGTCTCTCTAAAATCTACTGGACCAGAGAATAATAAGCACAGTCTAACCTGCCTTTGTTAGTGTGGGATTTGGCTTCTTTCCTCGTTACATCTGAATCCAGGCACAGACAGGCACAACTAGATTTTGATTTTGAGTCTGAACTGACCCAGCCCTCGAGTAGTCACTGTCTGCTAGCCCACTGGATAAAACCAGTTTTGACTATTTTTTAAGCATCCTTTTCCATCACTTCCTCTCCACCCAAATAAGAGCAATTTCTGATTGGTGAGGATTTCCAAACATTCAGGAAATTAGTATGCATAATCTTTATTATGCAAGTATTTATACATATCTTTCTTTCTATAAGCCCAAAGTCAATGAGTTCCCTTGGTAGTTAAGAATTCTTGTAACTTATTTGTAATTAAGGTCCTGTAAAAAGGACCTAATCCTTTTTGATGTATGCTTTGAATGCACTTTATACAAGAGGTGGGCGGTAAGAGGGGAAGGAGATAGGTAAAGAGTGTATTTCAGTATTTGTGTATTTTGTAAATTTTTCTTTTTTGGATTTAGAAAAATATCCCTTCAATACATCAGTTCTGCAACTGTCCAGAGACATAACTCTAGAGTCCTCCTAGCTCCTGACTCACCTCTGACTGCACAGGTCAGAGGGCAGCTTGTGGAAAAGAGGACAAGTACCAGGTGAAAAACCACCCAGGGAGTGGACCAAGTGGCCACCCCTCCCATGGCATTCGTCAAACATTTACTAATTACCTATAACGTGACAGGCACTGTCCTTGTCACTGGGGATAAATGAGAAAAAAAGAGACAAAAATCTTTATCCTCACGGAGTTTAGTTTAGTGTGGAGGTAGGTCAACAGACAATAAACAAGTAAGTTACACAACTTGTCAGTAGTAACGTGTTAAGGAGACTAAAGCAAGGCATGAGGATGGGGGAAGGCAAGTGGCAGTGCCATCCCAGACAGGGTGGTAGTGGCAGGACTCTATAACGGAAAGCTCTGGGGCTAAGAGAAATAAGGACGTTAATGGCGCAGACACCTGGGAGCAGTGTGTCCCAGGCAGAGGACATGGACAGTGCCAGGGCTGGTGAATTCTTGGTATGTTTTAGGGGAAGCAAAAAGGCCAGTGTAGCTGAAGCCGAATGAGTGAAAGCAAGAGAGGGCATGAGGTCTGGGGGCGGCATCTTAGCGTGCTTTGTGGGCCATGGCCAGGACTTTGGATTTTATTCCAAGTGACTTGGGAAGTTGGAGGATTTAGAGCAGATGTTGCTCCTGTTTGAAGCAGTTGCTCTGACCGCTGGGTGAGGAATTGCCAGTGGAGACAAGAGACCAGTGAACGAGTCTGTTGACTGTAGCTTAGGCCTGGTGGCCAGGACCAGTGGGGGAGGGAGTGAAAATGGCTGGCTTTGGAAGGAAGGCTTCTGAAGGAAGACCCCAGGATTTGCTGATGGGAAGGATGTAGATTATAAGAGCAAGAGCTATTAGGGATGATGCGAGAATACTGCCCTGATATGGGGGAGAATGCAGCTGCCAATTATTTTCTCCTTTCCTATATTCAGAGTTGATCACTTATTTGATAAACATATGGCTTCTTGCAGAAAAACCATAACAAAAACACAATAAGTGTTGACCTAGAAATGGAGGAGCACTGGTCTAGTCACCTTACATTTGATTTGTTGCTAGTTTTATTTGAACAGCTTGAATTTCCCCTCTGATAACGTCTTTAAATAAGATCCACTTTACTCAGTAGTAAATAACTCTGCCTAATAGCAGATAAAAGAACTATTCAGAGAGGTGACAAGGAGGGAGGTGA